GCCCAAGAGTTGACGGTGGGTGGTGATGACTAAGCTGCCTTCCCTCTGGTTTTTCACTGTTAAATTAGGGACGGCTATCGCAGAAAGCCCTCGTTTAACTTCGTGCCAAATTCAAACCAATCTTCAAAAAATTAAAATAATTAGTTTACAAGCATAAATATATAAATGAAATATACATTTTCATGCTTGAACGAATCTGAAAAAAAAACTAGCCCTAACGCAATCGTAAAAAACTAGCCCTAACGCAATCGTAAAAAACTAGCCCTAACTCAATCGTAAAAAACTAGCCCTAACGCAATCGTAAAAAACTAGCCCTAACTCAATCGTAAAAACTAGCCCTAACGCAATCGTAAAAAAATAGCCCTAACGCAATCGTAAGAATCCTTTCCGTTACATTGGAATTAGCATTAGAAAAGCGGACCAATAGTAACCGAAAACGTCATCTGTTGCCATAACATCCGATTACGTCATTCCGTTGCGACTGTAGTTAGAAACTTGTGCTTGGTATCAGAACGGGAGAAACAAACAAGTTTCAATTTTTTAGAGTAGCTTTAGGATAATTATGGCAGTTGTTTATTGTAAGCACATTCATTATTTCATTAGATATCATCTTCCAGCTAATGTTTCATAACAATGTCATTAAGCTCACCTGATATTCGCAAACACACAAGAGTATAACAGAAGTTTCGAGACAGTAGCTAGCGTTGTTAGTTCATGTTAAGCAAATATTTACTGGTTAATGGGTTCAGTTATCATTTGTTGACAAACAGAAAATCATTTATATTCCAACTAACACATCGTTGCTTTTATTTTAATAACAAAAAAAAACAATAAAATGAACTTATTTTATTTTGGTATAAATATTTTCATTACAGTCAGCCTGATAAAACTTTGAGGTATTCAGTCAGTAGACCAAACTTCGTAAATTTTATAATGTTTTTTTAAATAAATGGAAAAAACATACTGAAATATTTCCTTAATCCAAGACTTAGTTTTCTATATAGCAACTTTTATGTAAGCACCAGATACAGCAACAATACAGGTTATGAATACGAGGGTTCGAGGTTTGCGTCCCCTTGCCGCACATATGCGTTACATACTTGTGCAATAGGTAGACTAGAAGGAAAAGCATATTAGACAGACTAGTGGGAAAGCTAGTCAACAAACCTACCTCCAACTACTGTAGTCGTAACATGGCCTTTGACTGCTATTCTTATAATGCACTCGCGACTCAAAATGCGGAACACAATTCTGAGACAACGGGACATGAACCATAGACCCACAGATTCAGGGTCTAGCAGGATAACCACTAAGCACGTCCCACCCACAGATTCACGGTTTAGCAGGCTAACCACTAAGCACGTCCGACCTATAGATTCAC